GTGATATTGAGCATGGCTTGAAACGTCAAATGCTGTCAACATAACCAGTGTTTGCTCTATTTCACCGTTCAACGGTACCTTCCGGTATACTGCAGGTTGATGACTCAGCATAAAAGTTTAATTGATGATTACGAAAAGCCAGGAGCTGAAGGCCCTCCTTTCCTACCTGTAGCTGTTTTTTCGCGCGAATTTGATGACACTGCAAATACTGCAGGGTGTCTCATGTGAACTATTGGTTTTAACAAAACTATGTTTCGCATACAAACTCTTGATAGGTTTCATTATCTTACAAACAATTCAGCATGATGACATTTTCGTTTAGAAAGTCAGTGTCTTTCAAAAAATTCCAAATTTCCCACACCTGCTGGTGTATTGCAAATGTCGCGTTCAGCGGCTGAGCGCGGGGACAGGGACCTGCATCTCATTTCCGATCACAATGATTGCGTAAAACCACCAATATAAATTTCCGAGAATTTTCAGCACTTCTTGGCACACAGCAAGTGTTTGGCCTATTTGAAGCATCCTCGTTGCACTTTCAAATTTTACATCTCAAATGAGACGCTTTGAAGCGATACAGACGAACGCAGGTGACACAGTTCGTGGTGACTGCACTGACCTGTATCTGAAGTGCGTTGACGTGCCGAGGCTCTTGATCTGGTCACCGTAGCGCAGGATCGAGTAGTTCTCGGTCAGTGTCGGTGTGTCAGTGCTTCGCTCCAGCACCGAATCGAAATTCCAGCCGACGACCGAGATGGAGGTCAACAGCAGCGTCCAGCCGCCGCCCAGGGTCAGGGTCATGTCGCAGTACAGCGGCACCGGCAGACCGATCACCCTGTACACGCCATCGGTCGTGTAGCCGAGCGCCTGCAGTTGGCGACAGCTGCCGGCCGGTCGCTGCAGCGCCACATCGCCGACAGCTGCCGGCAGCAGCGGTGGGAAGCCGCCATCGGGTCGGCCCAGTAGCTGGCAGCTGCCCCCGGCTCGGAAGTTGGCCGCCAAACAAGGCGGCGAGCGGAGGCAGAGCAGGGCGCATGTGACGACCGACGGAGTTGCCGCCGTCTCGACCACTGCCGACGGCGAGGCCAGACCCGCGTGGGTCGTCATCGGGACTGCCTGGGAGGCACCGCTGAGCGACGTCCGGAGCAAGACGGCCCAGCAGAGCACGGCTGCCGGCTGCCGCCAGCGACGCACCGCCGCCGGACACCGCATCGCTGTTGTTACAGCGGCCGGTCGGTGCTCCGCTGCTGCTGACGCACCCGCTGGAACCGACGAGGCGAATGACGCCGTGTCGTAAGGCCCGTGAACCGTTGGCATACGGATAGATCGGTCGCCTTTACGACGTGCATGTAGTGTTTGTAAACACCGACACAACTGGAAATGCTCTTGTCTTCAGCGCCCGCCGGATGCTCGAAAGGGATTACATTAACCATAACCACGTGAGCTCGTTTGCCAGCAAGGCTTGCGTCGGATTCATCTCGGTCAATATCCACAGCGCTGCGTGTGGCGTCCTGGTGGTACGATCCACTGGCATTTGATTTTCGTCCCATTCCGTTCACGCGTGCGTCTGCGGTGCACAGCAAATGGTTGCTTGCTTGCTGCGTCAACCGGTCAAAGCCACATCTACCGATCAGGCCAACCTTTCGCCTTGACGACGATGGTGACGTCAATGAGCAGCATGCAGACAAGTGCTGAGGGAACCTCAGCCATAAAACAACACTCAGCAGCATCATTCAGAGACTATGAAGGAGTCCACAAGGCAGTCAACAAGTACCAGTGACAAACACGGAAAGTTCTTGACAGCATCAGTGAATCTTACAAATCTCCGGGGCTTTGAACTCGCTCGGATCTGATTTGGGAGAGAGGGCCATTTTGACCCCTATAATGCTGCCCGGGAATAATTTCCAAAGGTGTGGCGCGATCACGCCAAACCTAGCGTGGCCATATGCAATTGAAAAGGCAATCTTGCGGTGTGATAATGGGTATGCTTCAGGCGGTAATTGACCTTAAGCAGACCAACTTTTGGTTTTGGTCGTCAACGAGGACACTTTGTAAGGAATCTTTCAGACTAATGCGACGACTGCGTGTTAGACAGTCAAAAACGACTTTCAGTTGGTTTCTTACACAGTTAGACGTTTGAAATCAGGATTGAAACTAAATTCATAAACCTTGGCTGGTTTATGGAATTCAGATGTTCGATGTGGTAGTGTCTGACACTTACTTTGAATTATCTAATCATAAGGATGGTGAAGGATGACCTGGATGGCTATCTCACTTTACCATATATGGATAAAGCTTTGTGTGCAAAGATAAAACCGGTTGTCAAAAAATGCTATCTTAATGTTCGTGTAGCATGACAAAAGCAAATATTTCGGAACACAATCTACTTCAGTCAGCTTCCTCACCACTTGTTTATTACCCGGTAACCGAATATGTAATGCGTGTAGGTGTGGCAAATGTCAAAAGGCAAATGTCTGGCGTCTGGCGTTGGGTACTGTACAACGTGTTTGGTGTGTGAGGGTTGGGGTGAAAGCGTACCGTACGCTGGCGAATCAAAAATACCCATTCAGCTACAGTGTAAGAGGCAAATTTTAGGCGTAAAACAAAAACGAAACTCTTGAGACTCCCACTGGGGATCATTTTCTTTCTGCACATCAAAGCTATGAGATTCGGTGTAATAAGAACTTCTCGACTGTTGCAATTTTGCAAAAAAACCAAGGACCATCCCCATTGCAAAAGTTATGAATCAGTCTACATATGCAAGCTGAAACCCCTACTCAACAGAAGTATTTAATCCTGGAGAGTGATGTGGTCTTTGTTTGTACAAAGCTGGTGTGTTTTATCGCCAGTGATTTACTGCAAGTTTGTTCGGCCAGTGTGGGAAATGCATGCCATCTGATGACGTTTATGCTGAATAAAAAATCGCTCTCACCTCTGGTTAGCATCTGGTGTCCACCTCATATTTGAATTTTTGACTCTGCAAACAAGGTCCGTGACCAAACATTTATCAAAAATATAACGTACTGAACGAATCTCACGTACAAATGTATTGTAGGGTGATCTTAATTCTCTTTTAATGCCTGCCGTGCCTTACACTACAGGAGCGCTGCACCATCTTAGAATAACCCGTATTAATTTTTTGACAGGCTTGCTATCTATGTTTTCCAGTTTCATTGTTTCAGTTTTATAGCAGGCCGTATAATAATAGTGTAATCTGTCATGTGACTTATACGTGGTTTGGTTTGCCGACTTATGAAGGCTTCTCTTTTATGTTTTCTGCGCTGTTGTGTATAACCTTTTTGCTGGCCTGCTGCTGCTTACACGTGGCCAATTCCGATTTCAAAAAGATTGAGAGTGGTCCAACTCATTTAAATAGCTAAAAAAAAACAGTTATTCGTCCCTCGTGAATTATTCCTCTTATGTGCTTAGGTTTTTCCCCACCTTATCTCCAACTCGCTCCTGAAATCCTTGCTTAAAATCATCAGGACGCCTTTCTCCTCAAACCTTTTTTCACGCTACCCTGCAGTTGTGCTGATGGGCAATGTTATAAACCCAACGTTGGAGGTCTGTCACCGCTTGTTAGATGTTGTTATTTGTTGCTTTCAATAGGAACACACAGGGAATACAAAAACTTCTGTGCAAAGAAGACAGCAGCCTTAATGTAATTTTGGTTTGTGAGCTGCGAGGATATTTCTCTTGACTGGTATTGTGTTCTGTCTGAATTACTGCTCTCAGTTTGACTGCATGTTTCTGCCTGTTTGGAGAAGCACTGCACTCAGATAAGACAGTAGTATTAGCTTTATTCCTCGGAAAAACCAGGAGAATGAAGATGTAGTTAGGTTGATATTTCGGCAACATGCCTTTATCGAAACAATAGCAGAAGTAGAAGACTTATGCTATTGTTTGGATAAAGGCATGTTGCCGAGATAGCAACCTAACTATATCTCCATTCTCCTGTTTTTCCGAGGAATAAGGCTAATACTACTGTCTTGCCTATGTGAATAATGTTCCTCGCTAGTGCACTGAACAAGTTGCGCAAGCATTGCACTCCATAGCTTTATATTCCAGAACTGATATTTAGTATTCACAAATGGGGAACCCATATTTCAACAAAGGTACAGGTGTCCCATTTCATAAACCAGTGCCATGAAAATTTTATATATATATATATATATATACATATATATACAAGTACATAAGTTACTAAGAATAAATAAATTGCGAAATAAAAGTTTTGGTGTCCCCTCGCCGAATGGGCCGATACATTTCTCCTTCAATGGAGCGCCACGGGCATTGCAACTTCCCGGAAATCTGCTGTCTATTGAAGGCAAAGGTTTTGAGATCCTTTGAGGTGCTTCCAGGCATTGGGCGTGTCTGACAAATAAAGGCTATCACTTCCCAAAATGATGAATTCTGACACCACTCTGTAAAACGTCGAAGAATGGACCGATTAGGAATTTGGTCATAGTGAAGCACACATAAACTCCTCTTGGAAATAAAGATTATGGTGCCCCGAAATGAAAATTTTTGTGTAGCTCGTTTAACGAACTGTTTCAAGGTTTCGTTTGGGGTGGAGGAACATGGTTTTAGTGTTTCTTTGCCGAATGGGCCGATCCAGGGTTTTTCAAACAAACAATACGAACATCGTAGTGCCCCTCGAATCCGGTGGCTCCCGAAAATAGAAATTATTGACATGCAGTATCGCACATATGGTACATATGACGGCCAGGCAATAACCTGCTTGGCATGTCCGACTTCGTTAAAATACGTGGCTTTACCTTTTTTAAGCTTGCTGTTCTCAGCCCTCTCTGCATGCACTTCAAATTCATCAAACCAGCCAACCAAATTTACTAGCATTCTGTTCCGATGCAACGTGTTTGTTTCCTGTGCGCTGAATGGACGTGCCCCTCCGGCGGGCAGAGCCGCCGCGCGGCCGATCCAGCCTCCGCACAACCGCATCTAGTGGAGCTCTGCGTGCCACCAGCCACATCTCACCTTGGCGCCGTCCAGGTTTGGGGTCGGACGGAGCATTCTGTCGAGGGGCGCGTCCGCACGAGGTCGCGTCCAGGAGCCGTGCCCCACCTATCTCTCAGCGGCCACCAGCAGGGCCGCGTGGACCACGACCCACGTCTCCGGACCAACCGCCGGAGGGGCGCTCTCCGAGCCCATTGGCGGCATGCAGGTCAGTGTTTGCGCTGAGTTTTCTTGACTGGAACTCAGGGTTGGGAACGTGACTTGACCGTAGGCGTGCGCTGAGATACAAACTGCGTTTCCCACCGAACTGACCGACAGGCTCAGCGCTGGTGGTTGGTGGTGGATCGAGTCAGGTCCGGTGGATTACTCGTGTTATGGGATCGTAATTTGCAGTCGCACCTTCGAGCCCGTATTGTAGTGAACAGTTACGTAATCGAGGCCTTGTGCGATTCTTGGCCTCTAATCTTACCGTATTATACTGGGCGTTCTCATACCCGTGTGCGGCTCAAAACACAACCCGGGTTATTTGGTTGAGCAAGGAAGCAGGCTACGTACACGTCGCTTCGTATCGCAGGAATGCGCTGACTCCTAAACAGAGCGCGCGGACCTGGATTCACGTGTGGATTACCAAATATCGTTAACAAATGACTGTACAATGGGTGAGATTTTAGGCTATTACTTTCCTGCCACATATTACGTTTATGAGCGACTCGGGTGAGTTATATACCATATCTGTGAAAACTTATATCACACCGGTATCAGAGGTCAATTCGCCCCCGCCTCTTCTCGATTGCTAACTCCGCCACTGCTACTCACAAAAACTTGCCGGCGGGTACGAGCAGAATGAGCTGTTTTTAGCCAGCAGTCAAACAGGACTACGCAAGTTTTTTTAGGCGCTATCTTGAAGAGACTGCATAGCATTCGTGTTGTGCGCAAATAATGATTTGGCTCAAGTCGCATGCCGCGTAAGCCTCACCGCAATCGACGCAGGCTGTTCAAGTTAGTACGAGCGGGCAAATGCTGTGCACGACTCATGGGCTATCTGTACAAGCTTGAAGCGCCCGCACGACTCGCATTGAGACCTGCACAAAAGGTAACTTTGGCAAGCTAACACACGTTCTGGGCATCAGCTTGGTGCCAGCTACCCTGCGCCAGGTCATTGTGTCCTGTGGCAGCTGCTCTGGGTAAGGTCACTGCTTCCGGTGGCAGCTGCCCCACTAAAAGTCAGGTGATGTCAGAGGACATGCCCTCCAAGGACATGTTCTGCAGGACGGGCCGCGCCGAGCATCGCGCCACGCTAGGCTTTCGCGGCAAAATTCTTCCGTTGACCTAGCATTTTGCCATCGGATGGTAGCGTCCGGCCCAGTGAGACACGGACGACCTAGCATCGGCTCTGATCCCTGAATTCGACGCAATGAAATCGCTGGGACGTAACCGAATCTTATTTTCACTGATTCAGAACTAGAATAAAAAAAGCGATCGGAACCTCTGCCCCTTCTGGGTCTTCATTGGTCTCTACGAAACGGTTTACAAATCAGTAGAATTTCCTGACTTTCCCAAGGTATTTTTCACACAATGTCTCAACCTTTGTGGCACATTACATGCCCAGGGCGATTTGAGGGCCCATTTTTTGGAGGGGTAGCCAGACAATGTGGCTATCATACTAATACGGCGATTTCCTTAGGATCAAACGCACAGCCCGTGTTAACAGGACTGACTGATTCTTGCAGTGAATAAGAAAGTTGCAACAAGGGTATGGTTATTGTAAAATTTATTAATTGCAGGGAGGGGAGACCTCTTAACAGGGTCACGCATAAGATAAAACCGCTTTTGAAAGCAACTAAGGTGCTCCGTGGTAACCAGTTGGCCTGTAGAGGGAAAATAGGCCCCGTGCAGCTAAAAGAACCGCGAGTGAAGAGTGGGTTGCGCCGATATAGAAGGGCTATGGGCTCCTAATGGGGTCCTGGGCGGACCGTGGACCCTGAGAACTCAAAGGTTGTGGGCTCCTAATGGGGTCCTGAGCGGACCGTGGACCCTGAGAACTCAAAGGCTATGGGCTCCTAATGGGGTCCTGAGCGGACCGTGGACCCTGAGAACTCAAAGGTTATGGGCTCCTAATGGGGTCCTGGGCGGACCGTGGACCCTGAGAACTCAAAGATCATCTCATTGGTCAGAGGGCCCTTGAGGGGTCCGAGGGCGCCCCCACAGTAGACCGACGGGCCCCAAAACACTTGTCGCTCCCCTAAAACAGGTGTCCAAATAGATCGCTTATATATATATATATATATATATATATATATATATATATATATATATATATATATATATTATCTGGATCGTTGGGTCACTATACCAAATGGGCCACTGAGCAGCCAGTGGGCCATCGACAACCAAACAAACCCTTTGATGACTGGAAGGGCCCACAAGCGATGAAAAGTTCCCATTCGGACCAGGGGGCCTGGACAACCAATTAACATGCGCTTGGGTGGCCGGTTTGATACCATTCGCTCGGGTGGGGGTTAATTTGACCCTCCTGAGATCTCAGGGACTAAGAGAGCTAAAAACACCAAATTCGCAAGGTGTATTGACCTATATGTGGACTCACTTAGATCAAAGTTTGACATCATTAGGTCATAATCTTCGGGTCCAACAAGGTCAACCTCTAGGTTGGCCTCCCAAGTACTCCCAGAATATAAATACTTGTTCTAAGGAAAAGGTTGCATTTTCATTTGATCTCAATGACCTATGGTCAGTGCCTATTCTTACCTCTCAGAAATCCATGGAAGATATAAATACATTTCCTGACATCAGTAATTTCGGAATGAGCACCAGAAAGTACCTCAGACAGCAAGTCCTAGAGTAATAAAGCAAGTTAGTTTTGACCTTGGTCTGACCTTCATTACTGACCCTAGGTCCATATAATTTGTTCATTCGATTGTTTTGTTGCCTAAGAAAAAATTGCAGAGGTGCATTGCTTCATCTAGAACTCCGTTGTTGCATCAGATTAAACGATTCCGTAAAAATTGACTTTGCGGAATCCATGGGCTGACTTTGACCTGCCGTGGGTCAGTGACCTTACACGGTGCATCCAAATTTTTGGTACCAAACTATCCATTATTCAAATGTCTACAGTATGCAAAAGGTGGCGCGGCTACGCTGCGCCGTTCGGAAACCATTTTGGAAAAACCTTCCGGTGGTCAATTTTACCACCAGCAGAGCGCGTGCTATGACCCTAAGCTGTCTGTCTCCGGGGATCCCGCTTACAAGAGGCTCGTCAGAAGCCAGAGGGGCCCTGAATGCACAGCAGGTCCAGCGGTCAGTGCCGCCCGTAAACGGATGTTGCCATCAGGGGCCTTGCATCTCACGGTGCTTCTAAGACTATGCTAACTGGCGCACCTGTTTCCCACCCAGGCGGAAAAGGTGGGCACAGGGGAGAATTGAGCCCTGTACCTCTGGCTTCCCCGACGCACATCTTAACCACCACACTGAAACGCCCCAAATGGGCCTGGGTAGCACCGAGGTTATTTCGTGTGCTGAAGAGACTTAAACGGTAGACGGGCCTGAAACATCTTTTAAGTTCTTAAAGCCGCTTGAGTGCGCACGTTGGCCAGCTGAGGCACACGTATCCATATCAGGGGCCTCTGGGCTGCCAAATGGGTCGTAGTGAGCAGTCAGAGGATGGCCACTACTCATTCAGCATGAACATTTTTATTCACGTTGCACACAGCAAAACAGCTCTGCGTACACCTTCACAAAACCTCAGGTCTAGTAAACATTCACATTCAAAATGACCCTGAAAAAAATTGGGAGACGCTTGAGTGTGCCCACAAACTGCCAACAACCTGCCTACCCACGCGGAAGTGCTGAAAACGGTCTAGACCACTAAAATATATGCAATGCAATGGATTTCAAACCTCTGCAGCGAACGGTTAACACGTGCTCGAGTGAGTGGGGATGGGGGTCAAATTGACCCCCCGAAGGTTTTTCAGAATGGTTTCCGAACGGCGTGGCGTAGCCCCGCCAAATTTTGCATAGCTGTGGACAATTTAATAGCAAATCGTTTGACATAAACAATTGAGGTGTACCTTGTAACGTCGGTGACCTATGACAGGTCAAAGTTAGGTCATGGCTTCAGCGATGGCAATTTCTAGGGAATCGTCCAATCTGGAACAATAATTGAGCGTTTGGCGAGGCCATACACCTCTGAGCTGCTTTCTTAGGCACAACAATATTGAATGAGCAAATTACGTTGACCTGAGGTCAGGTATGAAGGTAGGACCAAGGTCAACACCAACCTGATTTATTACTCTGGGGCTTGCTGTATGGGATAGCTTGTGGTGCTCATTTCGAATTTGTTGACAGCAGGAACCACATTATAGATTTCCATTGACTTGTTAGAGGTCAGAACAGGTCGTTGACCTAAGGTGACCCGGGTTGACATTCTGTTTTAGGAACACACTGCCTAACGCAACCTTTGTCGCCTATTCAAATGCAAAACTCGGAGCAGTCTTGTATTATTTTGGTCACCATGACCTTCAAAAGGTCAAACAAGGCCACTGATCTCAAATGGGCTTGTGACCTTTTGCTGAGAAACAGTTGCCTAGGTTCTGGGGCACTTTGGACACCAACCTGGAATGTGACCTTGTTTGACCTTATTTGACCTGAAGGTCACGATCTAGGAAACTCAAACTGTGACCTAAGTAAACTCACGTACAGGTCAAGACGCCCTGTACATTCGGTATCTCCAGTCTTCTTAGTTCCTGAGATGTCAGGGGGGGGGGGGCAAATTGACCCCCGCCCGAGCGAAGGGTATCTAGCCGGCCACCCGGGCGCGTGTTAAGATTAATACTGCTCTGCACGTTTTGAGAACGAAGATGGAGAAGCGGCAATTCATCTCCTGTCAGATACGACACATTGAGGAAAAAAGAAATCTCACTGGCTGATCACAGACAGTGAATAGTTTTCTCACAATCCGAGGTTGCGACATTTCCTTTCGACCGTCGTCGTCCCATCAAAACCACTCTCCAGTAACGTGGACGAGCTTGAAGCAGTTATGAACGACAAAGCTGCGTTCGGGTCTATGCATCGCATCTGGGCTGCACCTATGACACGGTTGGACTGCAGCTCAAGACTACACGACTGGGCTCCATGTGTCCAATACGCGACTGAGTTGCAGCCCCTACTATACAGCATTATTTTAATATGACAAGGCTTTCAGCTGTTTACGACACAACTAGCTGTTTCAGCTGTTCTCGGCTTTGTACAAAACGGCTGAGTTTACGCGTCCGACGTCTGAATTGCAGTTTTCTACGGCATGGCCTAGTCGAATCACGAGACACGTCATGAAAAGGGACTTCTCTGCTCTGTACGCCGCCGGGTTTCGGACGTCTACGACGCCGACTGCCGCCCCTCAGCTCTGTACAACACTATCAGTTTTGTGTATTGGCGACATGGTTGAATCTCCTCGATAAGGCTGTTAGATTTCAATCTCGCACCACACGCCTAAGTTCATGCTTGCACGACGCGGCTGATCTTCGGCCCCACTCGCCAGGGATGGGTCTCAGGTTTATACGATGGGTTTCAGGTTTATACGATGCGACGCTGCCTGGCGCTGACGCTGCTGCTGGCTGCGGCCAGCGGACTCCAGCACTCGGCTGTGCTGGACCCAGACGGCGACCTCGTCATCCACTGGACGCCCGAGGAGGACAGCAACTCGATCGTCATCCGCGTGGAAGCCAGAACTAGGTGAGATTCACACTTGAACCCAGTGTCTGATGGTGGCGGTGGGCTATTGTTTGGTGGTGGCCAGAATATTTTATCTTAGCTAACGTAAGCTATAGCGTTCTTGGTTTTCATGCAATGCTCAGAACGATGCCTGGTGGATTCTGTTAGAGCCTTGTGGGTAATGGTTAAGATGTAACCGGTCTGTTTATTCGCAAAATGCAATGTATATGTAGCGCTTGTTATCTTCATAATACACGACAACTTGTCATTGCATGTTTTCATGTAAAAAATGACATTATTCTGAATTGCTTGTTGACATGACGTTTTGGCCGCAGGGACGGGATAACCACTACCTCTCTACATGTTACTTGAAAGTGTACCTGTTACTACGGAATACGTACGTGTAGTTATTCATTTTTATTTATTTTTAGGCATGAAAAAACTGGTGAAAACTCTATACAACACTCCTCCACTTCAAGCTCAGCTGTTACAAAACAAACTGGCTGTCCCAATGAATGCAAATTTTATGTCGACAGAGGCTGGGCCGCTGTAGGGTTCTCACCGAACGGCGCCATGACAGGGGCCGACATCGTCATGGGATGGGTCGACGGAACAGCGCACGCGCAGGTGGGTGAGAGAAGCGTTGCCTCGCTCCGGTGTGAGCGCACCTTCTGCCGGGTGTGGGTGCCAACTCCCCGCCGGGTGAATGCCGGGTGGTGGGGTATTGCAGATGACAAGGCCTGTGGAACAGCGTGAGGAAGTGCCGCTCTTGAAGTTCATTGTAGACATAAAGGAATACGCGAAGTAAGGTATAGGAATAAGAGCTTAGGGTACGCGATGGCGATGACAATTTTAGCACTTACATTGCGACAGCAATGTAATCAAAGAAAATGCAGCAAATTCTTGTGCGCAAATATAGGTAAGATGTAGTGAAGCACTTGCCCGCTCAAATATTGTTCAGCGCAGCAGGCGCATAGTTTCTTTAATTTTTAAGCACGCAAATCACTCGTACTTGATCATATCGAGGCTATTTTCTTAATGAATGTTGTGCGCTCTAGACGTGGTAATGTCTACGGCATGCGATTGGTGATGTGGAAAGCTGCACACCACCTTGAACATTGGTTAGGAAAATCCACGACAACCTTTTGGTACACCTGACCAGTGTCAACAATCCGGCAGTGGTTTCAACTTTTTCCTGTCCCGGTTGATCCACCCGGTTTTTCGGGGCGGAAAAATTAGTGGGACTGACTTTCGCTCTGCGTCGTCGGCCCGGGAGGCTCCGAAGAGCCTCGCGACGCGGCAGGCGCACGACAAAATGGACCCGGTCTCGGGCCTCACGCGTGACTCCGGCGGGGAAGCGGACAGAGGCGGCGCCAGTCCACGCGGCGCAGGCGAGATCACTTTAAGCTAAATCACAACAAAATGCTGTAATTTGTAGGAAAATGTATGCATGCTAGCCACGCGGCCAGAAGCAAAGCCGTAGCGTGCTGAAAAGCATGAAAAGCAAAAAGCATGTGATGGCCTATGACACCCTTCTCACCGCACCTTCGTTGTATTTGGCTGGGCGCGCTCCTGATGGTTTTGTTGCCTTCAAGCGCCAACTGAAGGTTAGCGCGCTATGGGCCTCTCAGCCGTCTTTATCCGGCGCCCCCACCGGCGCGTCTGACGTTTTTCTGTGAAGGCCGCGTCCGGGTGATTGACCCATTCCACGGGTCTCTGAGTCCTACATCTATAGAAAGCTGGCTGATGCGACGATCTCTGAGGGGCTGAATTATAATAGTGGACGGACCAAAGATGCCTTGCAGTGGATGGAAACGAATGACATGCACAATTACCTCCGGCGCCTTTGTGAGCTTATGGTGTCCCCCATTGTTGTTGTTGTCTGTTGTTGTTCTGTGCTGGGATGTGATGGCCCATGGCGAATGGCCGATGATCTCCGGCTAGGTGAAGGTTAAGGATATTTGTTCCAAGTGCTGCTTTCATCTCTTGTACCTGCAGTGGACGCATACCAAGCCTTTTGTATAACCAACGGTTGCCTAGTCACCTGTAAGTCTGCACTCTTCAACGCATCTCTGCCTCATAAATGGCTGGTTAGCTATTCTTGTCACCCGTCTCCTTGATCTCACTTCCCAGCGAAACGCGCACTTCAAAATTAACGTCCGACCGGTGGGGGACGCTGGCCGGCCGGGCGGCGGCGGCCAATTTCCCCAGGTTCGCACCGCCAGAGGCATTTCGGTTGGGTGTCTTCCGGGCCGGAAAAAATGGCGAGAACCGGGCTTGACACTTCAAGGATGCAGAAATGGCTGATACAATCTGATGGATCGAGCTAGTATGGGAGAACATCCTGTCTCGAGTCAGGGAGGCATAACAGGGGTAACGCAGAACACGAGCGTGTCATCGCCAACAGCGGGCTGTCAGCTGATCGTTGCGGCATTTTGCCCGCTCCAATCACATGTCCCTAGTCCCTCTCCTTTGGAAAACCGAATACGCGTGAAACAAATGCACATACATCCTATATGGGAACCATATCTCATTTACAGTACCAAGGAGCATTGTGGTCGGCAATGATACCTACTGCTCACTTAGTCTACCCGCCACACCAACAACTACCTGGCTCCCCGTTTGCCGGGGGAGCCAGGTAGTTATTGCCATTTTACCAGGCTACCTTTGCCAGGTAGTCATTTTGTTCACACCCGCTCCTCTTGCAACAAAGCAAAGCATCATCCAGGTTGGTTCGTACATGCTCAAGTCGATACGTGTTGATTACGTCAATAGCGTTTAAACTACGTAACGTGGCAGTTGTACTGGTAATAAAAAATACCTTAAAATTTGGAGTTAAGTCGTCCTGTTGCTTTTTACTTCAACACCGTCGGATTTGGATGTTTAAGAATGTAGCCACCGTCAAAAGAAATCGAACACTTCTATATGAGCCCAGTGGTTTCAGATATCCCAGGGAAGTGGCCATAATTCACCCCTCGGCCAAGAATATGGTTTACAGGGACCACGAACCAGAACGACAATTTCCAACCGCGTGCGGTATACAGACAGCCCCGGCTATTTTAGGCCCATGTGATAAGTATTACCAGCTATGGAGTTAACCACCGCACTCAACCGAACTATGTCCACATGATCATTTTATTTACAATCGCAAATTGTGGTGCAAACATTGAGTGGCTCTCAACGTTACCAAAACAGTGTTTCTCGGCAAACAAAAAACGAAAAAACGGCGGCTTTCAAAAATGAGACCCCGATTAGACAAGGCGGATAAGTGGCCTTAGCATGGCTTGTTTCACACCGTCTAGCGCTACAAGAACTTGCCATTTAGTGCCAACCTTGCCTTGTTTATTAAGCAAAACCAAGTCTTCGTCGTTCAACAAACCGAAACAGCCGATCTCGGCGCCTCCCTTCGACGCCGCTGCGTGCCTGACCTACATCCTTGGCCTGCTGACGTCACACAGAGGCGACCCTGGGCGGACCGCCGCAGCCGACCCTTGACAACAAGGGCCCGGATCGCTGAGGCTCGAACAACTCCATAGGCAGGAATGCGCCCGTGGTCGATCCCAACATGCCTGGTGCGTTAGCCTCATTTTCTGAACCAATAACCAATGATTCGGCGGCTATCACGATCTGAGCTCGCGGTTGGACGCGAGCGATCAGGCTGGTATGACCAACGTGAACCATACTCCCCAACATCTGAACACCGGGTGAGCCCCAATATGAACTTTGTTAGCAGCTCTTCTACAAAGCAGAACACCATCCAATTTGGTCCGTACATGCTGCCGCCGACCTGCTTTGGTTGCGTCAACAGCGACGATGTATCTTATCCCTTAATTACGTTCTATGTCAACTGATAACGTCCTCCAATCGCCCCCACATATCAATCCCGTGTGAAGGCCAAATTTCCACAAAATGTGTACACATTTCAGAGAAACTTTTGTCAAAACGCGGTGTGGTATCAATAAATGAGTATGCCGCGCAGCCTTTTACTTATTTGATTCAAGAAATTGTTTTTGGTTATTCCAATCCCCTCATAGCTAAACAGTACTTTTTGCTACATGCATATATCATTTTGAAGTGTAAGATGGTGTGACTTAAGATCTCAGTTATTTAATTATATACGGAATAAAACGATGGCAACTGTACCGCAGCGCAGCAGCGAATATTAATCACGAGCTAGAAACGGTAAAGTGCAATGTTTTAGCGTAATTTAACAAAAAAAGAAAGACTTTTACATAAATACAAGGATTTAATGAACGATCCTCGAATTTTGGTGCGTTCACTCCTTGTTCGTTGTACATTTAGGCTGCCAACAAACCCTGATCAGCCGTTTCCAGCTAAACTAGAAGCCGATCTTTCAAGGATGTGAAGACGTTCTCACTTGCTGTGGCTGGTGCAGAGTTGCCAGCGTTGAGGATTTAACAAACTGACAATTCCCTGGCAATTCTGGCAAAAGCAAACTGTCAGTTTGTTGATTGGCGATAGCAATGCACGAGAAGGACAATCGCAGAGTCTCTCCAGGAAGGTATCAATCATGCTGCAAACGTTCCCACCCCAAATGAAATTTTGGGAACGGAAAGAAAATTGGAGTGCTTAAAGTTGATAATTCCAAATTTTTGGCATCACTCTGCTCTTTTTTTAAATTTACTGGAACATCCAGCGTTGTTGCTTTCGGCCTCATTTCACATGTGCAACAGTGCTGGCACCTGTGCGCGGAGCCCATGCAAAGGATGGCTTCGCTTCCTGCCTTTACGCCAGACGGGTCCGCGGAGGGATCCTTTGCGCGTCACACCATGCTCCAACGTAGCCACTCGGTGTCAGCGTGACCTCTCCTGACCAGGCGTGTGTCAGCTGGGCACTAACTGATGGTAGCACTGTGCTTTTTGGCTTTCCATTTTGATTTCCATTTTTTGCTTTCTCTTTTGCTTTCTATTTTGCTTTCTCACGAATTCGAGCTGTGTAGCGAGACAGCTTGTTCAGCGTCGTTCAGTCTCATCCCACAATCTTACCTTTCGGTCCGGGAGCCGACCGGAGCCACCCAGCATGGCAGTTTTGGTCGCCTCTCAGTGCGGCAGCCTTCCTCTGCTGCTCGGCCTGACACTGCGCCCGCGCCAACAGGACATGCACGCCGTGGGAAATAGCGCACCACTGCTGGACGACAGCGACGATGTCGAGCTGCTGGAAGGGAGCGAAAACAGCACGCACACCGTGTTCACCTTCCGTCGGCCCCTGCGGTCCTGCGATACCGAACATGACCTCAGTCTAGGGGTGAGTACTCACCTTTTGACGTTCACCAGGTGTTACTACACCAAACATAAACTCAAGCTTCGGATGAGAGTACTGAGTGATGGTTTCCTCTGATCTCTCCGGACGTTTGATAAACTTCCTGGAAGAACGCTTGAGGCAATCTGGATCTGATGAGCAAATGTTGTGATCGTGTTCGAATGCCTCCGGCACACACCCTCTAGCCTCACAACCAGCGGTCTCTCCGTGCACAGTCCTTGCCCATCCTCCAGCCTTGCCCTCGTCACCTTTGGGCTCCCAGGGCTACCTTTCGCCCCGTCCCACCGACTTGACACATCACCCCCTCCCCGTCGCCGGCTGACAGGTGGCCGCCACCGCCCCCAGATGGACACGACGCGTCTGATCTGGGCGCTGCACGAGTCTGACCCGACGCCGGGTCGCGGCCCCTCCTACCACGGCACGCGGCGCGGGGTCCGCAGCGTAAGCCTGGACGGCTCGGGCGTCTTCCGCTTCCCGGCGCCCGGCGAGAGCGAGTCGTTCGT